TGCTGCTACTCGCTAACAGCACTTGCCCCAACAGTCTGTTAAGGCTATGCAGGTGATATTTGTCTCTGTCATCACAAATTGGATTGATAAAAAGGGCTGTTAAATATACACTCAATTATTAATTTACTTAGATTACGATTTTTTTTTATAAATATAGATAAAGATACCCCGTAGAGCCTTTAACAGGTAGCATTTGCCTCAAAAGTCTGTGAAGGCTATCAGGGGGATCTTTGTCTTGTGTTAACGATATGTGTGTGTGTGTGTGCAAGCGCGTGTCTGCGCGCTTCTTCTGCCTGTCAATCAAATTGGTGTCCGCGTGTGTTTAACCCGTGTCACCTACAGGGTGTGGTATGCCTCTCTATGTCTGTCTGTATGTCACCTGCGTGTGTGTTTATCCGTGCGTGTTACCATGTCACCCGTGTCTCTCCCGTGTCTCAACCGCGTCTCGCCCGTGTCTCTCCCGTGTCTCTCCCGTGTCTCGCCCATGTCTCAACCGCGACTCTCTCGCGTCTCGCCCGTGTCTCGCCCGTGTCTCACCCGTGTCTCAACCGCGACTCTCTCGCGTCTCGCCCGTGTCTCTCCCGTGTCTCGCCCGTGTCTCACCCGTGTCTCAACCGCGACTCTCCCGTGTCTCACCCGTGTCTCTCCCGTGTCTCGCCCATGTCTCGCCCATGTTTCAACCGCGTCTCTCCCATGTCTCGCTCGTCTCTCTGCCGTGTCTCTCCCGTGTCTCTCCCATGTCTCGCTCGTGTCTCATGCACCCGTGTCTCACCCGTGTCTCTGCCGTGTCTCTCCCATGTCTCGCTCGTGTCTCATGCACCCACGTCTCTCCCGTGTCTCTCTCGTGTCTCTCCCGTGTCTCAACCGCGTCTCTCCCGCGTCTCTCCCGCGTCTCTGCCGTGTCTCTGCCGTGTCTCACCGTGTCTCGCCCGCGTCTCTCCCGTGTCTCACCGTGTCTCTCCCGTGTCTCACCGTGTCTCTCCCGTGTCTTTCTCGCGTCTCTCCCGCGTCTCTGCCGTGTCTCTGCCGTGTCTCACCGTGTCTCGCCCGCGTCTCACCCGTGTCTCCGTGTATTTCACCTACCGCGAGCTACCCGTGTATACGCGGCCTCCTTCACGAGCTGCGAGCGAGGAGCTCTTCACGCCACGATAACTCAGTGGCACGTGGGGGGGGGGGGCCCGCTCACACCGCGAGCCTCACCCGGGGTGGGGGGGGCGCTGACACCGCCTCACCCGGGGGGGGGGCGCTCACACCGCGAGCCTCACCCCGGTCTGCGCGCGCTCGGCATCGACCTTCACCACCGTCACGAGCACCACCACCTACAGCCGCACTCTCGCGTTCCCACGTGTCCCTCCGCGTGGATGTTCATCTTCAAGGCAAAGTGCGGGGCGGTGGAGGGAAGGGGGGGGGTGAGTTACAGGTGACGTCATGCGTGTGTTGGTAAGGTGGAGCGGGGGGGGGGGTACAGGAAGGTCAGCGCAATTGGCCGGGGTCATTCGCTCCATTCGGTCGTCTATTCGTCCGTTCACTCCTCCGTTGGTTGCTTCGCTCCGCTGCGCTGTAGCCATCGGGGAGCGAGCGGCTTGGCCGGAACCTGCGCTGGGAGCCCCGGGCGTTTGGCTACGAAGGAGGAGGGTTCGGGGTGGGGGGCTTCTGTGCACCACGCGGTACAAGGAAGGGATGGAGACCGATGTCTCGTTGGGCGCCATCGCCTCGCGAAGGAGACGACGGAAGGAGGAGACGAGGAGATCCCCTGCCGAGTGGCGTGCGGTTCAGGGCACGGCCAAACTCCGGCAACAAACATCGCCTGGATCCCAGCGACAGTCGCTCGCAATCAGCGAGAGACGCGCGACCCCGACAATGAATTCACGCGCGCAAGAGGCACCTCGTGTTGACAAGAGGCGCTCTCGGGCGCCGGTCAGGAGCTGCCGTGAAGCCGGTCCCGACACCCGAGCGAGTCAGTTGCACGCAACTTAGTCGCGTGCAACTGACTGGCTTATTATACGGACGTGTCTGCAACCGGATTGGGGGGGAAGGAGGAGGAGGGGGAAGTCGTGCAATCGGTTGATGCTCACAGTCGAGGAAAAAAAAACTCCGACTTTTAAGCCTTGGTCTATTCGGCGATTTGTAGCGACACGCTTCACAACGTGCTACACCAATTGGTGATTGGTTGTTTTACAATGCTCAATGTGGCTCTTAACAACAACAACAAAAGTGTTGCTCGACTACTCGCTCAGATGTGGACAAAGCAGTTGCGGGCGATGAAGTTTGCGCAACTGATCGCTCAAGGATTGTGGCGTTCTGTGATCCAGAGCAGAGGAAGTCGATCCTCTCGCCTCTGTCGCTCTTCCACCGGATTCGACTTCCTCAATTTATACCGCAGCCCTGGCCAAATGCGGGAGCCTCCCAGGGCCCCTGACCCAGGAAGTTTGAGTGAAACAGGAAGGGGTGACGGCAGGATGGAATTGTCAGCGGACACGCAGACGGTAACCAACCCCACAGATGCCAAATATTAATTAGGAGCGTGATTCGTAATTAATTTGGGGGTTAGGCCCACCTGACGATCTCACCAACTTGAAGTCGTAAGACCCCCCCCCCCCACCATCACCTGACACAGCCGAACAAATTAAATCGCCCATGAATTGCAGAACGATCTTCACGAACGATATTCAGCAGCAATGCGGTGGGAAATAAACCGCGGATCTGTCACTGGACCTAACCCAAAACCGACTGCCGTACGTGATGAGTTCAATCCTAGCTCACGTAAGCGCCGTAGTAGCTCGGTCTGTTTGTCCCGTGCGTTCCAAAACACTCGGAAATAGAACTGACAAAACATCTTAACTCGGGGATGTCTTAGAGAGCGAGGGCATTGCTTCCGCTTTATGTTCATATTTCTGCTTTATGTTTTATGTTTGCAATGCTTCTGCAATGGACAGGTGCGTCCGAGGCCAGTGTAGAAACTCCGAGAGGACGGCGCTGTATTCGTAAATATTTAGAATCAAAGTGAGCGCACGTAGATTCGATGTCACCACATCGAACGCCTGTTCGTGACTTCGAAATTTAAAAAAAAAGATGTATCTCGAAATTCACGGAGCTTTAAACTCGCGGCGGAGCGAGCGTCCCCTAGGCGCGGGGTCGCGGAATGTGAGCCACCACCTGAGTTCGATTCCCGCTCGCGACCAATGACAGTGGCGAATAACGGCACCGGGTATTGGACCTCCCCTGGGTCGACTCAGCCTCAAATGAGTACCGAGTGCGATGCGTAAACATCGCCACGAGGGAGACAAAGGCGACCGAGCGTGGTGTTGGCCACCCACCCCCTCGTGTGCCGTGCCCACCTTCAGAGGTGCTGCTCGCTAACAGCACTTGCCTCAACAGTCCGTAAGGGGATCTTTGTATTTTTTTTGTTTGACCTGTGCGTGTCACCTGTGTATATACGTGCGTGTATGCCTGCCAGTATGTGTCACGTATGTATCTACATGTGCCACCTACGTGTACACCTGTGTGTATACCTGTTTGGGGAGGGGGAGTGTCGTGGTGAGCGGGCGACACGCGGCCTCGTCCCCTGGCATTGGGGAGGTGGCTGCCGCGGATTTATGAAACCCGAATCCCACTCTTACTGGAGGCAGTGCGCTGACATCACGGGATACAGATGATGATGGTGGTGATGGTGGTGGTGGTGATGATGATGATGATGGTGGTGGTGGTGGTGATGATGATGATGGTGGTGGTGGTGGTGATGATGATGATGATGGTGGTGGTGATGATGATGGTGGTGATGATGATGATGATGGAGGTGGTGATGATGATGGTGGTGGTGATGATGGTGGTGGTGATGGTGGTGGTGGTGGTGGTGATGATGGTGGTGATGGTGGTGGTGGTGATGGTGGTGGTGATGATGATGGCGGTGATGATGATGGTGGTGGTGGTGATGATGATGGTGGTGGTGATGATGATGGAGGTGGTGATGATGATGGTGGTGGTGATGATGGTGGTGGTGATGGGGGTGATGGTGGTGGTGGTGATGATGGTGGTGATGGTGGTGGTGATGATGATGATGGTGGTGATGATGATGGTGGTGATGATGATGGTGGTGATGGTGGTGATGATGGTGGTGGTGGTGGTGATGGTGGTGGTGGTGATGATGATGGTGGTGGTGGTGATGATGATGGTGGTGGATATGATGATGATGATGGTGGTGATGATGATGATGGTGGTGGATATGATGGTGGTGGTGGTGATGATGATGGTGGTGGTGGTGATGATAATGGTGGTGATGATGATGGTGGTGGTGGTGATGGTGGTGGTGGTGGTGATGATGATGATGGTGGTGGTGATGATGATGATGATGGTGGTGGTGATGATGGTGGTGGTGATGATGATGATGATGGTGGTGATGATGATGATGATGGTGGTGGTGATGATGATGGTGGTGGTGGTGGTAGTGATGATGATGGTGGTGGTGATGATGATAATGGTGGTGGATATGATGGTGGTGGTGGTGATGCTAATGGTGGTGGTGGTGATGATGGTGGTGGTGGTGGTGATGATGATGGTGGTGATGATGATGGTGCTGGTGGTGGTGATGATGGTGGTGGTGATGATGATGGTGGTGGTGGTGGTGATGGTGGTGGATATGATATGATGGTGGTGGTGATGATGATGGTGGTGGATATGATGATGGTGGTGATGCTGATGATGGTGGTGGTGATGATGGTGGTGGTGGATATGAAAGTGGTGGTAGTGGTGATGTTATTGGTTGTGATAGTGGTGGTAATGATGATGATGGTAGTGGTGGTGGTGATGATGATAATGGTGTTGGTTGCGACAGTGGTGGTGATAGTGTTGGTTGTGATAGTGGTGGTGTTGGATGTGATAGTGGTGGTGGTGATGGTGTTGGATGTGATAGTGGTGGTGGTGTTGGATGTGATAGTAGTGGTGGCGGTGGTGATGGTGTTAGATGTGATAGTGGTGATGGTGTTGGATGTGATAGTGATGGTGGTGGTGATGATGATGATAAGGGTGGTGGTGATGATGGTGTTGCTTGTGATAGTGGTGGTGGTCATTACAGACACTTCACTTCAGTACCAGCAGACGCTGCTAAGTGCTCATTTTGACGAAACTACCGCGAGGTGAAGCCCCGTTTTGCTCTACTTTTTGGGTCGTGGTAGATGTATATACACGGACACTGTATAGACTGTAAGTATATACTGTATGTGTTAGGTGGGTGGGAGACGCGATGACATCGATCGGTGCCACGCGCGCGACGCACGCGCGAGCAAAACTGTTTCAGGAACCACGCTCATCGTCATCATCATCATTATCTACTAGCGATGATCACGAGGATTTGGTGAAGGGTGGGGCAAGCGAAGACATCGCCTCGTCCTCTTCCTCCTCCTCGTCGCTCCCTCGTGGTCGTCTCCTCCTGCTCCCCCTCGTCCCAACTTCCTCCTCCTCTCCTTCTCGCCTCATTATCATAACCATCAGCATCGCCTCCTTCCTCCTCCCCCCCCCCGCCGCCACTCCCCGCTGGCTCACGCCTCGGAGTCGGAACCGTCGCTGGACGCGGGGTGCGCCGGCGGTTCCCCGAGGCTCGAGAGGCTCGCGGCCCCGGGGCTGCCGGCGGCGGCTCCCGAGGAGCTCCGCAGGCCTCGCCCGGGTCCCGCACCCGCCTCCTCCTCCTCTTCGTCGTCGTCCTCTTCGTCGTCGTCATCGTCGTCGTCATCTTCTTCATCCTCCCGCAACCCCACGGCTCCGGGAGAGAGCGACGGCTGATGGAGCCTGCAGCCAGGAGCGCGCACACGGTCACGTGCGCGCGTGAGTGAAAGTGGGTGGGTGAGTGGGTGGGTGAGTGAATGGATAAGTGTGTGGGCGAGTGGGTAAATGTGTGAGTGAGAGAGTGAGTGGGTGGGTGAGTTGGTGGGTGAGTTGGTGGGTGAGTTGGTGGGTGAGTGAATGGTTAAGTGTGTGGGTGAGTGGGTAAATGTGTGAGTGAGAGAGTGGGTGGGTGGGTGAGTTGGTGGGTGAGTGGGTGGGTGGGTGAGTCGGTGAATGAGTATGTATGAGTGCAAGGTTCATTGATTTGTGAGTGGGTGAGAGGGTGAGTGAGTGAATGAGTGAGTGTGTGGGTAATCGGGCTATGAGTGAGTGGGTGAGTGTGCGGTCGTGTGCGCGGGTAGGTGGGTGAGTGAGTGGTTGTGAGCCATGGGTGGGTGGTTGAGTGAGTCGGTGGGTGAGTGAGCTGGTGTGTGCACGCGTCTATGTTGTGAGTGGCGTGTGTGTGAGAGTGCGAGTGTGTGGTGTGGCAGTGACGTCGCGTATGATTGACAGCGTGCGGTGTGGCAGTGACGTCACGTATGATTGACAGCGTGTGGTGTGGCAGTGACGTCACGTATGATTGACAGCGTGTGGTGTGGCAGTGACGTCACGTATGATTGACAGCAGCTATATTCACAGAGTTAATGCATTGGGACGACGACGCTTGACGCGTTCGCTGGAAGGGACGCGAGTTATAAAACAAATCTGCGCGGTAAACAAAATAAAGAAATCGTCGGCGCTGGCGTGGGGGCTTCCGCGAGCTTCTCCCCTCCCCACATCGCGCCGAGGTCAAGGGGGGCGGCAGGGGGCGGGATAAAAATCCGCGCAGCACGGGGCATCATAATCTACGGTGACCCAACCCTGACCCCGTTATGACCTCACCCCGACCTCACTCCCAGTTATCTCACACTCGAGCCTGACCTCAACTCTCACTGACCTCAAACATATCAACGAAACTTTTTATTTTTATTTTACCAGGTAAGGCCCCCTGAGTTATATATATATCTCTTTTTCAGAGGCGACGTGGCCACAAATGATAGCTGAACAAAGTGGCTTATCATGTGGAAATGCATATCAGCCAAATTACACTAAGCGTATATGTTGATTCTAAATGTGGAGGGGAAAACCGGAGTACCCGGAAGAAAATCCACGCCACCACGGGGAGAGAGAGAGACACACGCAAACTCCAAATATACAGCAGCAGGTGTCAGTGTCAGGATCGAACCCACGACCTCCAGCATACCAGGCGAGGTAGTTAACATCTCGCCACCTCACCACCACCGCTACCGTGACTTCAGCCTGACCTCAACTCACACCGACCTCACCTGACCCCTTCCCCACTCAAACTTTGTCCCTAACCCTGACCTCGCCCTGACCTCAGCTCGCCTCTGCTACCGCGCGACGAGCGCTTCTCGGAGCGTGTGATGTGTGATCGCGTCACGTGCACAGCAGAGGGATTTGTCAAACCGCTGACGTCGTGGGTCATTGACGGCTTCATAATCAGAGGGAGGCAGCAGCAGCAGCCACGCGGTGAGGAGTCGGCGCCAAACCTCCCACCACCCCCCCACCCCCTGCAAGCTCTGCGGTTCTCTATATATATGAAGGTGTTATCGGCCAACCCTTTCAAGTTTCGAGATGACTGCAAGTTGCAGGGAGGGTGCCATTCACCGCTGAATCTCGGAACGCGCAAGCAGTTGGCGCGACTTTTATTTAGAGAGGCGCAGTAGCGCCGCTGTTTTTCCAGACATCTTACTCACTGAAGAGAAGTGTAGCGACAAGAGAGCACTATATGACAGCTGGCGCCAAACTGTGCCACACGCCATCCCGCGTGACCTTTTACTTCCGATTCCGTTCAGATTCGAGTCCGTTCCAACGACGTAAACGTACGTAATCGGAACAGAATCAGAGAAAGAACGTATGACGTACGTGTCCGATGATGGGACGGGAAAGGGTTTTAATGAGCGTTTGAATGTGGCAGGAAATCGGAACGCCCGCAGGAAACCCACACGTGCGAGCAAGGGGCCAACACTGCATTTAAAAAAAATCACCAAACAAATGGAACAGGTGGAGTCCAGATTTTCTGTTACCGCCTTCTCCTGCCGACCCAGGTTACTCACCCCTCCTCGACACCCACCCACGGGAAGGAAGTTTCACAACGCTCCACAGTTACAGGCAGCGAGGTGAATGTGTAAACACCGCCACCGCCGCCGCCCAATCGATTATACAATCATCGCTCGTGCCTTCTAACCGAACTCGTTGCAGAGAAGGGTGTCGGGCGAACGGCAGAAACCCAATTCGCCACGATCCACGCCAGCCCAACGAGAGGGCAGCCTCAATTACGCAGAGACGGAGTGGTGGCGGAGTGGTGGCGGAGTGCTTAGCATGGGTTCGCGATCCGATCACGGCTAACGTCAGTGGCGAGCGATGTGGTTTACAGTTTAGAACCCATTGCCAACCCGCACTGACGAGCGAGGTGAAGTATGGTTAAGCAACATCCACGAGGGACGTGGTATGGGGAGGGAAAACCTTCATCCAGCAGGCGATTGACAGAGGGCACGTCGTGATATTCATTTTGCTAATCCAAACTCACAAGTTGCAAGCGCAGCGAGTGATGATGCTTCTCCGTGGTATGAGCAATCGGAGTGAACGCGGGCTCCTGAGGATCGAGTGAACATTGAGGCATTGCTGTCCACCCCCTGTTCTTTACAGCCCTGCACAGCCAGTGGTGGACATTCCACGTTCTTACGGCGGGGGAGGGCGAATCTGCAAAGGTAAAACCACTGTTGACTTGCCTCCACTCAAAAGTGGTACCTATTTTATCGACCCCCAGAGGGATGATGGCCTGAGTCAACCCCTCCCCCCCACTCCCCCTAAGCAGGACTTGAACCCCGTTGACCTTCCCACTGCGAGCCGCTCGACCGAGCGGTTGATCCGCATCATCCCACGGAGCACGACGCCACGCTTACCCCGCGGTGGGGGCGGGGGGGGGGTTTAGCCAATCAGATTCCCCGAACACGCGATGTCATCATCACTGTTGTGATCATTAGGGCACCGTTGTTGTTGTGGTTGTGCTGGTTATTGTGGTGGTGGTTGTTGTGGTGGTGGTTGTCGTTGTTTGTGATGGTTTTTGTGGTGGTGGTGATTATTGTGGTTGTTGTGGTTGTTGTGGTGGTTGTTGTGGTGGCGAATGTCCCCGTGTGTGGTGATGAGCGCGGCATCGTTGTATGCCGCAGCGATTACAGTGCGTACGCTGAAGACAAAAATATTATTGTCCACAATAGAGGGGGCTTGCAATGGGCTAGATTGTGTAAATATAAATGTGTCATTAAACACCGCCACCACCTAACACGGCCAGCGAAGGAAGGCTTGTCTCATAAACTAAACGCGCCAATTTGTTACGAGTTCAGCACTAGCCCGTGTGTTGTTAGAGTAAGCCCACTACAATATTTACAGTTCGAGTACCGTGACATTTCGCCGGCAATTACAACAACCAGCATCATCAGGCCGCAGCCAGAGTTGGGTTTAACGACAAATTCATATTTACTCGATCTAACCCAACAAACACCTCGATTATGGATAGCGATCGCGAAAACCTACGTGTTAAACACTACTATTATTATATATAGTTATGTTATGCACCAGACCGTTTGTCAATCCACTGCCAGATGAGGGGGCCCAACGACGCCGTGTTCCGGTCGTGGGGGGTAACTCGACCATACTTCACCAAGCGGAGTCAATGCTCGGTTGGTGACGATGGAGAGGCACCAGAGACGTAGGATCCCGGGCGTGCGGTACCACAGTGCATTATTTCGCTGTTCACCACGTAGCACCGTAGCAGCAGCAGCAGCAGCAGCCGATGGTGTCTTTGTGGACACCGAACAGGGCTAAGCAGGCTCAACGCCTGCTTAGCTTGCGCGGTCTGGCGAGAGCGGGCGCTTGGCGGGTTGATTCGGTCATTGGGTATCACGTCACACATCGTCACACATCGTCACAATCATCACACGTCGTCACGCGTCGTCACAAGCATCACACGTCGTCACAATCATCACGCGTCGTTACAATCATCACACGTCGTCACAATCATCACACATCGTCACACGTCGTCACAATCATCACGCGTCGTCACAATCATCACACATCATCACGCGTCGTCACAATCATCACACGTCGTCACAATCATCACACGTCGTCACAATCATCACGCATCGTCACACGTCATCACAATCATCACACATCGTCACACGTCGTCACAATCATCACACGTCGTCACAATCATCACACATCGTCACACATCGTCACACGTCGTCACAATCATCACACATCGTCACACGTTGTCACAATCATCACACATCGTCACGCGTCGTCACAATCATCACACATCGTCACACCTTGTCACAATCATCACACGTCGTCACAATCATCACACGTCACACGTCGTCACAATCATCACACATCGTCACACGTCGTCACACGTCGTCACAATCATCACACATCGTCACACGTTGTCACAATCATCACACATCGCCACGCGTCGTCACAATCATCACACGTCACACGTCGTCACAATCATCACACATCGTCACGCGTTATTACAGATCGTCACACGTCGTCACAATCATCACACATCGTCACACGTCACACGTTGTCACAATCATCACGCGTCGTCACAATCGTCACAATCATCACACGTCGTCACAATCATCACACGTCGTCACAATCATCACACATCGTCACAATAATCACACATCGTCACATCTGGCCTGAGTCAATGAGCGATGATAAACCCTCTGATGTGGCGCGTCCATCCTCGTGCATCGCCAGGGATATCACACAACCATCACAATAACCACCAAAACAACAACAACAACAACAACCACTACCACCACAATAACCACCACAACAACCACCACAATAACCACCACCACAATAACCACCACAAAAACCAACATCACCACAATAACCAC